ATAATGCTATATGTGTAATAAAATTTGCTATTATTGCAATAAATAAGAAATACTATTAGTTGTGAGAATATTTTTTGTAAAGAGATCATCCAGGTAAAAAACTTTATATTTATTATATTTAACGTAAAGCCAAAAATATAGAGAAAATCTCACTTTATACCTATTAATTTCAAATTATTTACCCTTTAATACCCAGGCCCAAACTATTTACTACTCCTACCCATGCGGCCCAAATTATTTACCCGCTTATTCATTTATTCTATTAAAATAGCTCTTCTTTCTACACTGAGAATTTGGATGAGGGCACAACTTCAGGTTCCAGATCCCATCTCTAAAACCTAGCTTCCATTTTACACTCCTAATAAATCCAAATTTGTCTTCTTTCTTCTGAATTAGTAGTAATTTCTTATTTGGATTTTTGACTTGATTTGTTGTTTATTAATAATAGATGGATCGGTACCAGAAGGTGGAAAAGTCAAGAGTAGAAACACCCATTGATGCAAATGAGATTCATATCACCAGCCAAGGCCGCATGAGAAGCTATATTACCTTTCTACACTGAAAATTTGGACGAGGGCATAACTTCATGTTACCCCTAGTAGGTAGTTGATGACTCTATAGGAGTAGAGAAATTTGGGTGAAGACCCAAGATTAAAGAAGGCTTGGTCTTAATTTTAGTAACTCCAGATCCTTGAATTATTTTCTTGTTTGCTATTTCTTGACTTACTTGTAATTTGTTCTTACAAAATTGTTCTTCCATTTCCCTTATATCCTTCTTCAAAAAAACAAAGATTAGATCTGATTATCCGAGAAGTTGACCTCTGGCTAGTTTCAATTCTGCTCCACTTTTTCTTGATTGTTCTTTCCCTAGCTCTTGCTCTTGCCTTGGCTTAAAATTTTTATTTTGTAGATTTCCTGTTTGATTCAAAGTGGGTGTTGTTAAATATTGCTTATAATACCTTCTGGAAGTTCATACTGAAATTTGATAGCATTAGGAGCTGATTTGAGGTGATTGAGTTGAAATTTTCAGCTGAAAATCGAAAAAGAACACAACTAACCAATAGTATACTGCTACGATATACAATATGCTGTAGGAGTATATAGCTATACTGCAACTGTATACTATTATAGTTCACAATATACTGCAACGGTATATTGTAATAATCAAAGAACACAGTTACCTAACAGTATACCGCTACAGTATACAATATACTATAGTAGTATATAGTTATACTGCAACAGTATACTATTATAATATATAATATATTATTATAGTATACTGTAATAATATGCAATATACTGTAACAGTATGTTGTAATAGTATACAATATACTATAATAGTATACTTATTACCCGTAAATTCACTTGCCTTTTCCCTTTTAATTTGCTTTAAGCTTTTACCCAGTGTGAAGGGCAAATTGAAATGCAAATATATATATATATATATATATATATATATATATATATATAGTATGCTATATAATGTAACGGTATACTCTTACAATTAGATCCTTTAGAATTTTTTGAATTTTTTATTGACAACTGATATTATTTCAGTTTATTAATTGAATTAATTATTTTTAACTCTTTGCGTATAATTGTATACCCTGTTGGTATAGCTATATACTATACTGGTATCATATGTTAGTTAATATTTTTTGGTTATATTAGCTACATTTAATTGGTACACAATTTAATTTTTCTTTAGTAATAATATAAAATAAAGAATAATAAAAATAATGAAAACAGTAAATGAAATTAGATTATGAAGAGAAAAAGAATACAAAAAAAAATTAAATGAAATTGGAAAAGGAAAAAAGAAAAAGATAAGAAGAAACGAGAAAAAAGAAAAGGAGAGAAGAAAAAAGAAAGAAAAGAAGCATAGAAACAAAAAAGAATTGGAGAATAAAGAAAAAATTCCCCACCAAAACTACTATGGGTAGGAAATGTAATTAATTTATGGGTAAAAAAATAAAGGGATAGACAAGAATGAATAGTTTTATTTTTGTGGGTAACTGTGTCAAAACACCAAAATATAGTAGAGTAATTCTCACTAGACCAAGTGCAAAAGCACATATGAAATGTAGTAGTCACTTTAAGGATAGGCTTATCTTAAGAATAATTATGAGTCATTTGGTAGGGGAGTAAGTTATCTCGGGATTCTAATGATGGGATTATAATACGGGGATTAAATAATGATGGAATTATTTAATGAATATATTTTATTGAAAGATATTTAGGCCTCATTTGTTTTTTTTAAGATTAAGACGTCTGAATCTGAATACACATCTTAATATCAAGATGTGTATTAAGATTAAGACATCTGAATCTGAATACACATCTGAATGTAATAAGATATGTATTAAGATCTGAATACTAAATAATTAAGACTATTTGATTTTTAACATCAGATGTATAAAATTTATCTTCATTTGAAAATTAATAAACATAAAATTCAAATGAAATACTAACTAATCTAATATTCTATCAATATAATATATAGTTTTTTAAATTATGATAGTTGTTGGTGGTGATTGCTAATCGGTGACTGCCGACTAGAGACAGTAGTTGGTGGTAGTTTTGGTTGATGATGGTGGTTCATGCTAGTAGCTAGTAGTGATTGGTAGTGGTGGCGATTATGATTAAGGATGGTGGTGGTGGGTGATAGTTAATAATGGCGGGTGGTGGTAGTAGTTGTGATTGAGGAAGGTGGTGGGTGGGTGGTGGTAGGTTATAATGATGGGCAGTGCCGACTGTGGTTGTTGATGGTGATGGGGTGGTTAGTTGTGGTAGTTGAGGTGGATGAGTGTTGATTGTGGGTGAGAATGATGGTGGTCGGAGTGGTAGGGATAGTTGGTGGTGATGGTCGATAATGGTGACGGCAATGATTGAGGATGATGGTGGCATGATGGTGGTGGATGCGGTGGTGGTGGGGGTGGTGGGGGTGGTTGAGTATGGTGGTGGTGGAGGCATGGTGGTAGTTGATAATGGTGGGCGGTGGCGGCAGTTAATAATGAATATGTGATAACATCTTGATGAAATTAAGTCTCTGTTATAGATCTTAATCATACAGACCTATTTAGACCCATTAAGTGGTTGTGAAGTTAAAAAACAAACACACTTAATGATTAAGATCTGGATAATTAAGATTCAGACTTTAAAAACAAATGCACTTAATGTCTGAAATCTGAATGAGTAAAATTCAGACCTCTATTAAGTGCAAACAAATGAGGCCTTAGTTCATTGGACTAAAGATGGAATATATAGAGTATAATATAAACAAGGTGTTTGATGTATACTAGATACGTTGGGACGCACTTTTATTTTAAATTTTAACTTTGGATTGTTTAAAGACTTTGAAGGAAGATCCTTGGAGAAGGGCATCCTTATCATTTTAGTGTTTATCCCGGGATTATTATCTCACTCTCAATACTATAACAACAACAACAACAACTATCCCAGTATAATTCCACAAGTGGGGTCTGAAGAGGATAATGTATACACAAACCTTATCTATGTGAGGTAGAGAGGCTTTTCTCAATTGACATTACCCCACCCTCAATGTGGGATAGAAATTCTATGATATAGAATAATACCCAATAGTGGGTTTTGTTTAATCCTAAGATTGTTAATCCAAAATTTAAAAACTCAATCAAACCCGGGATAAAATAATCTCGCATCTAACACTGATATTATTATTATCCCTTATTCCCATACCAAATGACCCCTTAAAGTGTAACCATGTACAATCGGCTCTGAGACAAGATGACTATTAATGATAAAGTAACTAATAGTACTGTATCAGCATTAACCGAAATGTATAAACCATTTATAGGGCTTTCTTAACATATTTGATAATTTTACCCGCATTATATACAGCCACATCTATTACTCCATTTACTAACAATTATTAAAAACCTTTAACCAAAACAAGGTTAGAGCTATGAGTCAACGTGCATGCGTGGTTGTTGAATTCTACAGAATATAATATGCATGATATCTACAAGAAAATTTAATTAAGCTTTATCTTCCAGTCAACTCAAGACAACCTACCTATTTAATTTTTCCACCCATAATATAAACCTCAACTATATAGAGCACCAAAATATAATAAAGAGGGGGAAAGATCTAAAGGCAAGAGAGAATTTAATATTCATACAGAGATGGTGGTGAGTTTGCAAATATTGGAATATATATTTTGTACAAGAAGAAAGTGCTACTGGCCTTCTTTATTATAAGTTTTTGTGGTGAGTTTTGCAGAATTATATTATATTGTGGAGAATGAAAGCAAGTTCAGTGCACTCACATCAGTATGAGCTTCGATAAGTTCAGTGCACTCACATCAGTATGAGCTTCGATGCTAAGTGCTAGTTCAAGTTCAGGCCATTTTTCAAAAGTGCTTTTAAGCCAAGTGCTTAAAAGTTACTTTTATTCGGCTAATTCAAACGGGCTCATAGTACCCCCAAGAAACTGAGTGCGTGAAATGGACAGATTGCTGGGAGAGAGGAAGCTGCTTTATTTTGTTTCTATATTAAAAAAAAACTAAAAAGGAATTATTACACAAATAGCCGGTCAGATTCACTATTTACTTTTTCTAACCACTATATATAAATTATACATTGATTATACATATATTATATATGAATTTTACATATGTTATATATTCGTCGGCTATTTTTAGTTTACGGGCAAACCCATTGTTGGAACCTTGAACCTCGTTTTTGGCTCAACATGTTTCTTTCTTGCATAGAAAGTGCCTTGGCCATGTTGGAAACTATTCCTTTGTTGAACTAAATAAACTCTAGTGTAAAAACAATTTGATCTTATTGATTTATTACATGCAAACTACCCTTTTTTACCATCTTACGTGCATACTTTATTACAAAAGTTACTGACATTGGACTTTCAAGCAACTTGATAATTATTGTATACTCCCTGTGGTCCCATATATTAGTCATTTGGCAAATTGAATTTGTTTTAAAACAGCCTAGAAAACAAGAAGACTTTTTTCCCCAAATTTATTCTTACTGTTCCAATAATAACAACAACCCATTATAATCTCACAAGTGAGGTATAAGGACGGTGGTGTGCACGCAAACCTTACCCCTATCCTAGGGGTAGAGAGATTGTTTCCGATAGACCCCCGGCTCAAGAAGAGGAAAAGAAACAATAGAACGGTAACAACAACAGAGGTTATTATTACAGTTCCAATTAATGAATTGTCAATTAAGAGAGCTGTATAACGAGAGATCAAGGGTAGTTTAGACAAAAAGACTTATAATTAAGGCTATTAATATTTTTTTAAGGAGTGTGCAAGAACTTTAAAAAAATATTATGTGGACCTGCGATAGAAAGAATTAAACTAAAGCAAGCATGTCAATGACAAATAGCATTGGGAGTTAACATGGAGCTCTATTTCCCAGCCACCAGTCGTTTGTCCCAACCACCATTCTAGTCCTGGCATCGAGATTTGTGAGGTAAAACTAAACTAAAAACCTTAACCAAAACCAGGTTAGCTATGAGTCACGTGCATGCTTGGTTGATGAATTCTACAAAACATGCATGATATATCTACAAGAAATCTTAAGCTTTACTTTCCAGTCAACTCAAGAGAACCTACCCATTTTGCCATCCATATATAAAACTCAACTAGAGCATCAAACTATAATAAAAGGGAAAGAAAGAAAAAGCAAGAAATAATACAGAGATGGTGGTGATCAGTGCAGTAGTTCCAACTCCTTCAAGAGTTGAAAGCTTGGCTAAAAGTGGAATTCAGGCCATCCCTAAAGAGTATGTGAGGCCACAAGAAGAGTTAAATGGCATAGGGAACATCTTTGAGGAAGAGAAGAAAGATGACGGACCTCACGTACCGACGATTGATCTGAAAGAAATCGACTCAGAGGACAAGGAAATTCGAGAGAAATGCCACCAAGAGTTGAAGAAAGCAGCTATGGAATGGGGTGTCATGCACCTTATTAACCATGGCATATCAGATGAGCTAATTGATCGCGTCAAGGTTGCTGGAGAGACCTTCTTTGATCAACCTGTTGAAGAAAAGGAGAAGTATGCTAATGACCAACCCTCTGGCAATGTCCAAGGCTATGGCAGCAAGTTAGCAAATAGTGCTTGTGGTCAGCTTGAGTGGGAGGATTACTTCTTCCATTGTATTTTCCCTGAGGACAAGCGCGACTTGTCCATTTGGCCGAAAACCCCTACTGACTACATGTAAGCTTCTTCAATAATTTCATAATTGCAGATTTTTCAATCTTTTTTTTTCTTTTCTTTTTGGTAAAGCTGGTGTCTGGGTCAGCCTACGCGCAGCGCGACTAATCCACCGATAACCTAATAAATCCCACCAGCATAAATACAATGTAACTTTCACCACTAAGGCTAAGGCAGGTAGGACGAAATCACCTAGTGTATGGGCCTTTTCCTTTCCCACTCCACTGACCACTAAACATTTCCAATTTGCAGTCCAGCAACAAGTGAATATGCCAAGCAGATCAGGAACCTAGCAACAAAGATTTTGGCAGTGCTTTCTATTGGGCTGGGACTAGAAGAAGGAAGACTAGAGAAGGAAGTCGGAGGCATGGAGGACCTGCTGCTTCAAATGAAGATTAATTACTATCCCATATGCCCCCAACCAGAACTAGCACTTGGCGTTGAAGCTCATACTGATGTGAGTGCACTGACTTTTATCCTCCACAATATGGTGCCTGGGTTACAACTTTTCTATGAAGGAAAGTGGGTAACGGCAAAGTGTGTGCCTAATTCCATAATCATGCATATTGGGGACACCCTCGAAATCCTAAGCAATGGAAAGTACAAGAGCATTCTTCACAGAGGGGTTGTGAATAAAGAGAAAGTAAGAATCTCATGGGCTATTTTCTGTGAGCCGCCAAAGGAGAAGATCATCCTTAAGCCCCTACCAGAGACTATCACCGAGGCTGAGCCACCTCGATTCCCACCTCGCACCTTTGCACAGCATATGGCCCATAAGCTCTTCAAGAAGGATGATCAGGATGCTGCTGCTGAACACAAAGTCTCCAAGAAGGATGACCCGGATTCTGCTGCTGAACACAAACCCTTCAAGAAGGATGATCAGGATGCTGTTGCTCAGCAAAAAGTCCTCAAGGAGGATGAACAGGATGCCGCTGCTGAGCACAAAGTCTTCAAGAAGGATAATCAGGATGCTGCTACTGAAGAATCTAAATAGCTTCTCTTGTTGTCACTCTGATGGTTTTATGCGAAGAAATTTTCAAAATTTTTATGCTTGTTCTGAAGTCACAAGTGATCCATGATTTTGTTTCCTCTGCAATGTCTTTATTTAGTAAACATATCTGTTAAATTTCAAGAAATATTATTCCCTTGTATAGGAACTACACCAGTTCTTGTGCATCCCCCGGATGCTTTCATCAATAAAACTACAATTACTTCATCAACAAAAGAGAAACATTATCCCCCTTGGTCTAAGATGCTGCATAGGGAATAACCATTACTTCCCCCCCTCCCCCCCCCCGGTCTCTCACGCACACACACATACATCATTTTTCTCATGTTCAGCATATTTCTTTGGAAAGTAGAGTGATGCTCAACTTGGTGCAGAACTTAATGAAGCTTACCACAGCAGTAAATTTCTCATGAAGGAACGTATGCTTACATGTTGAACAGAAAGTTCATTCATTCATATTCAATTTGTGCGCGCAAGGGTTTATTTGAAAAGAAAGCTTCTAAGTTGTAAGTAAATAGCTCTTCAAGTGCTTCCATAGACTCAGGAGTTAAAACAGCAAGATGTGGAGACAGCACCACATTATCCAACCCGAACAATTCCTCCGGTACATGGGGTTCATTTTCATAAACATCAAGACCAGCACCTCCAATCTCACCTCTCTTCAGAAACTCCACCAATTCCTTCTCATCAACAAGCGCCCCTCGTCCAACATTTACGACGATACCTTCCTTCCCGAGGGCAGTCAGCACCTCCTTGTCAACTATGTGGTGTGTTTCTTCCGTTAAAGCACAACAAAGAATCAGAACATCACTGTTAACAGCAAGGTCATGAATATTAGAATGGAAAGGAAACGGAACATTAGGCTTCATCCTTCTCGAGGTATAGGCAATGCTGCAGCCAAAGACCTCTAGTCTCTTACTAACCCTTGTACCGATGCTCCCTAAACCTACAATCCCCACTCGTTTTCCACCAACCTGTGTAAGAAAACCACCACTCCTTTACCAGCTCAAGTAGCACATTAGTAAAACGATATAGAAAACATACACGAGAATATCTTCATTTTACTTAGTTCACCATTTACAATATCTTATTGAACCAGTTTGATACCTGCTTAATTTTTTAAAACAGACATACACAATGGCACACTTTTCAACTAAGTTGATACTTTGGAAAAGGTACAATCTTGACCATAATCAAATCAATGGAGTATGAAACATTAAAACTCATTGGAGAAATAGAGAATCTAATTTTTTAATTAAAAATAAAGAAAAACAGGGCCTGATCATGAATCATGAAGTTGTTCCAGCATGTAGAAAGACAATACTGACCTTATAACCGGGAGGACTCAACTCTCCTATGACAGGCCAAGAACCGGCACGAACAAACCGGTCAGCAGCAGAGACGCCACGTAGGACATCAATCAAGAGGCCGACGGCGAAGTCAGCGACGTCATCGGAGAATGAATCTCCAGCGGTGGTGACGCGGATGTTACGGCGGCGACACTCGGCGAGGTCAAAGTGGTCAAAGCCGGCGCTAGTACCCACGATGCACTCTAAGGAAGGGTAAGTATCCAAGGTTTCGGAAGTTACCGGACTGGGACCCACACAGAGCATGAGCCGAACCGAGCTGGAGAGGTGGAGAAATGATGGGTCGGATTCGTCCAACGGGTCGAGAATTCTGTAACGGGTTCGGAGCTTGGAAAAGAACATGGTTTTGAACCTTGGAAGGCGATGGAGAAGAAGTAACCGGTGATTGGTCGTTTCCGGCGAGCCGGAAAAAGACATCTTCCCAGTTCCGATAACAGATTTTGTTTGTGTGTATAATGTGATGTCCCATTTTGTTATTTATATAAATTGAGTTATAAATTAACCACGAAAGCAGACAAAATAGTAGAGAGGAAATGAAAATAGAGAAATATTAGGAGAAATGTTATGAAATACATATTTATATGGATGTCCACTAATCAAATATAACCCCCACTACTCTTCTTTGTTATGTAGATAACTCCAACTACTTCTCACCATTATTGTTATAACTCCCTCACCTTCATAACCTACCCATGATCTTCCTCCATGATCTCAAATGTTTAATGGCATACTTATGGAATTCTTTTGGTATACCTCTATGTTGTACTATAGATAGAGGATGATAACTCATTTTGTAACACACTTGAATACATGGAAGAATAAGAATCTCTTCTCTCTTGCTCCCTACATTCTTGTCTATTTTCTTGTTTTATATTATTACTTTGAGCTATGTTTCGTAACACGTTATCAGCACGAAGCTTTAATCAACCTAGAAGATATGAATGGTTGACAACCTTGAACCAATAAAAATATGAGCATTATTACGAATGCCATATAATGTTTAGTTTGCCTCTATTATCCAGGGAGTATTATTTTTCAAATTATACCATAAATTGTGTATCTAGCTTATGTCAAAATTTAAGATTTTATGATAGATTTTACTATGTGGCTACATAAAATTATATTCCATTCCCTGATGTGAATCAGACCATTTGTGATAAATATTATATAAGGATAAGACGGTGGGTTCAAGTCCCAACGCACCATGAGGGTAAGACATCGGGTTTTGAGTCCTGATGATCCATGATTGTAAAAGTTGGGTTCGAGTCCCAACTCATTATGGCCTAACATGTCTTTATATGGGTCAGGCATTGGGTTTGAGTTCCAATGCACCATATGGATGACATAGTGATGACTAAAGAAAATATTTTTCATGAAAAAGCATGAATCTTGTCCCACTTGATTTGCATCATTCTTAAAGTGAATGTGGTAGCAATGCATAATAAGTAAATGAAGACAAGTTGTTGACCAATGAACATGGGCGTGCCATTGATCAAATAATAATAGTCATCATTATGGTAATTGTAAAAATGAGAATAATAAGGGTTCTCGAAGTAATCCTTCAATAGGTGAAGGAAATATTTACCATCAAATTGGTATGAAAAATTTATAAAGTACGTCGCGATAATTATACTCCATTGTTTGAAGAGAATGTGACTTGTGTATTGAGAATGCAGATTCATTCCTGAAGGTGAATGTAACAATATGTGATAAAAGTAATGAATAAAGACGTGCAATGCATGATTGGATACACACCACAACTCACCTCTAAGGGAGGTTTGAGAGAAAGAGAGATAATAAATATTACTGTGTGATTACATGAATATGTCATTGGTCGTACATGTGGTACGCCAAAAATAATTTGACATGTCTTATAAAAAGTTATTAAAGGCAAAAGTAAAGCAAGAAATGATTTTGCTTATGATGATTTTGACCATGACAATTATTATTATATGTTTTTCTCCGTGAAGGAGACATTCACCATATGGATGGTGTGACAAAAGATCTTGTAGTACAAAATCAATTAAGAGCTCCGGAAGAGCTAATTTGTTACTACCCGGATGAATAAAATTGTAGTAAGTCTCAAAAGAAACTTTTTGAGTTTCAAATGTATTAGCCAAAGTGTTGGCATATTGAGACTATAAATGAAAGAAAGATTGATTATCTTCATATTACTATAACATACCGGGTAAATATGAAAGGTTACCCGACTTTTTTTCTATTTGTACTACAGATGTATAAGCATGATGATAGAATCACATGCCATAAGTAAACTAGAGGTTTATTGCAACAAATATTAGTTGGCATGACCGGTTGACCATACCGGTTCAATTATGATGTGAAAATTGATTGAGAATTCACATTGGCATATATTAAAGAAATAGAAGATTCTTTAAGAATGCTCTTGTGATGTTTTTTTTCCTCATGATATACCAGTTAAGGTTGGGATTGAATCCCTTGATATCTGGAACGAATAAAATGTGATATATATGTATGGGTCGAATCACCCGCCATGTGGACCGTTTACTATTATATGATTTTAATAGATGCATCTATTGTATGGTCATATGTGCGTTTGTTGTCAACTTGCAGTTTGGATTTTGCAAGATTGATTGCTCAAATTATTAGAGCAGATTCCAGAATATAAATTTATCTTGATAATGCTGGTTTAAATCCAAGTTGGTTTAGCAGAGATTGTATACCTCCAATTATAGCTAAACCATTGGTTATGAGAACAAAATTACCAAAAGGAAATTTGGTATGAGATGTATTATTTAATATAGAGCAGCACTTGTACGCATCTAGCCAAGTTATGATAAATTCTCCCCGTCACAATTGGTTCAGGGTCAGGAACCAAATAATTTCCATCTTGAAATATAGATGTGCTATATGATTTAATTGTGACACCACAATGCACAAAGATGGGTTCCCAAATAAGGTTGAGAAATGTGTTCGTGATCCTAACATTAGGGGGAGAAAATGGGCAACTGAAACAGTGATACGTGGAATGAATTATTATGAATACATCTAGATCCTCGTACAAGAAAATATGAACTTATGTGAACTTGAAGTTCAAGTGATAATTCATTTCTAAAATATTTTCAGGCACATTGCTGACCCAAAGCTTAAATGTCATATTCCAGTTGTTAATGCACCAAAATAGAATAAAGTCTATGATGGACAGAGTTTATGACACGCATGAAGCGTAATAGACTAATCGGTTCCAAAGATAAAACTCCTTGAAGAAGGAGAGGAGCAAATGTTCAAGATGGTCACAATAAGGAGGCAAGTGCTTTATAAGAGCACCATGACATAACACTTTATAAGACTTCATGGGAGAGGCTCAGGTACCTGAAAATAATGAGATAAAGAGATCTCAATAAGTTATGTCTTTAGTGGGTAATGACAGAACCGATGTAAACTGATCATTGACGATATTGTTTATATAATGTAGCGCCCAATATTATTAATATTGACGAGGATGTTGAGATCAAATCTGTCATGGAATTTGGACAGATAAATGATTGGCCAAATGAAAAATATGCAATAAAATTGACTTCATCTGAAAAATATGAAGTTGGACGAATAGTCCCAACAACTGAAAGTATAAAGGCTATATGGAGATATTGAATATGATTAATATTATATTGCAAAAGGAATCCTTGATATAGATTTGTTTATAAACAAATATCGTCAAGGTTTTGTTGGTTATACAAATGCAGGGCATAATTCGTTGTTCAAACAATCTATCTCCATGCGAGGACGTGTGACTTTTCTTTGGAGAGACGATTCCAATAATATTGAAGACGATGATGCTTGCATAGCTCAATTAAAAGAACGATATATTGAAGAAGACAAAATAAAGCACATTTAGCCAAAGTTTCTTTGCAGAGACGATCTTCAATAGAATGATGAAATAGATGTTCAAGAAATTCCTTCAAGTGATAATTTGGCGGAATAATTCACGAAGGCATTGCCGATCTCAATATTAGAGAAGTTGTTATACAAGCTTGGAATTCGGCGTCTCCGAGAAATAAAGTGATATTTTCATCAGGGGGAGGCAAATACGCGCTGTACTCTTTTTTTCTTAGCTAAGGTTTTATCCCACTGGGTTTTCCTGGCAAGGTTTTTAATGAGGCAGCAAGTAATGCGTATTACAATATATGTGTACTCTTTTTCCTTCAATAAGATTTTTTTCCTCCATGGTTTTTTCTTAGTAATGTTTTAACGAGGCACATTATCTATGGACATCCAAGGGGGAGTGTTATGAAATACATATTTATATGGATGTCCACTAATCAAATATAACTCCCACTACTCTTCTCCATTATGTAGATAACCCCCACTACTTCTCACCATTATTGTTGTAACTCCCTCACCTTCATAACCTACCCATGATCTTCCTCCATGATCTCAAATGTTTAATGGCATACTTATGGAATTCTTTTGGTATACCTCTATATTGTACTTATGTTGTACCTCATTTTGTAACACAATTGAATACATGGAAGAATAAGAATCTCTTCTCTCTTGCTCCCTACATTCTTGTCTATTTTCTTATTTTATATTATTACTTTGAGCTATGTTTCGTAACAAGAAAGACATTCTTGTCAACTCTTTTTGTCACTATTAATGCATGTTTAATTTTGGAATAACCTATTCTAGGACCAAACAAAAAATAAAACAGTATTAAATTTTTATTACATAATTATTTTTACTTTATAATTAATTGCTAGTGTAAAACCTTTACAAAACTACTATAGGTACCCACTTTAGATTTATTCCTCTTCAACAATGATAAAATTATTTGACTTTTTGACCGTGATATTATAGGTCCAAACCTACTAAAACCTCTACCATCTCCTCTTCTTTTAATATTAGAAGATAGTTGAAGTACTTGTCATTAATAATAAATCATTGTGTAAGAAAAGTTAATTCTGAGTCTAACTCAAACTAAAAGTATATACTAACTCTAGGACTAACTGTTAAAGATCAAATAAAAAGACAAAATTATATTCTCCCATGTACGCTTAGGACTGGACTTTCAATTTAGAGCGCACATAACATAAAATGATGTCTAACATTGGTAAAAAATAATAGGTATATATAGTAGCGTATCAAACAAGGACCGTGTACATGTCCTAAATATGAAGTCGTCTTTATTAATAACTATTTACCTAGGAATGTCAATGGGGCAGGGCGGGGCGGGTTTGAAGCTAATGCAGGGCGGGGCGGTTTGAAAAATGAAAAATGTTAAGCGGAGCGGGTCAAAGATTTCAATCCATTTTAGGTATTCAGGGAGCTCGCTGATCATAATCAACCTTAATGAAATCGGTATTCCCAATCTACACAACGAATATAAGAGAAAATTGCTTTGGTTTATTAACTTTTAATTTAAAGAATCAATCATGTACCTGAACGGAATTTGTTGTCCTATTTTTCTATTATCTTTGTTTTCTCAGTTTTCAGTT